GAGAGAGAGAGAGAGAGAGAGAGAGAGAGAGAGAGAGAGAGAGAGAGAGAGAGAGAGAGAGAGAGAGAGAGAGAGAGAGAGAGAGAGAGGTGTTCCATGTTCTAGCGAAAGATTCACTCTCGTTGTGCACATGTAGAGAGTAGCGGAGCGAGGTCGCAGGTCACGCACAGAGAGAGAGAGAGAGAGAGAGAGAGAGAGAGAGTTGCGGCGGGCAGCATGTCGCGAGAACGAGGGTGTGAGAAAAAAAAAAAACATCTCATTTGCAACGGCCGCTATGCCCAAGGCCAAAACACAGTATATCTGTGATCAGGGGCATACAGGTTCAACTCACCAACAGTTGTAGGAGGCAGGATGAAAACAGAGAAGGAGCTGACCTAAAAAACAAAGGAAAAAAAAGGAAAAAAAAAAAGAGGATTCTATTCGAATAGAAAACAATACTTTCGTTTCGAAATTCAAATAGAACGCACATGTGTTTTATTCAATTACAAAGCATATGCGTTGTATTCGAAGTGCCCTTCAATATGATCGTCGCCACTAGCTTCGTCCATGTTAGAGCGAAATATAAATGAACAATCGAGCGGGGTTTTAGCAGTTTAAAATTGGACACTGATACACTCGATATCAAGTGACCTTGAGAGTTAGACATTACTAAGGCAAACGAGAGTAAACCACTCACGGGAGCTCTATGCAAAGACATGTCGTTGACGTCATTTGTTTTCATACAGTATGTATCACTTTCCCTATTTGAAGTGACGAGGTCGAAAACCGAAGCGCGGAGTAGGGTATAACTGACTTGTACAGGCCGTTGGGGCCAGGCGGTCATGAAACGTTCTCTCGAGAGTTTTACGCGTGAGTCCTCGATCGATACCAATTGTGCTCTTCATGCTCTTACTGCACGTATCGTGAGGAGAGAAGGCGCCTGACTATACTGAGCACTATCGGTATGCATAAGAGAGATAAGTCAGATTTGCATTGTAAGCGACAAGTCCATGAGGATATGGCCTTCGACGATTCACCTGACAACAACTATCTGCAGTTGTTTACGCCTTAGCGCCCAGTAAGAGTGAGGAATTTATTAGTTCGTTCAACGTTATGATTCAACATAGTCAGTCTGGAGACGCGGCATATATGATCATGATCTGTATGAAAGTGTCTATGATAATTGAAAACTGAAAAGTTATTTCATCGGGAAAATTTGACCTCAATTGCAAAGGTTGGTTTTCCTTTGTACTATTTTGAATGTCATTTGACAATCAAGCAATCTCTGAGGGATTTGTACTAACAAGCTTACACTTATAAACTGTGACTTAATCCTCTAGAGCTCACTAAAAATATAGGTTATTGATATTGCATGTTTTAATCCTATGACACACATAAGTGGAGGAAAAGAAAAATTGTTACAGAGGTGATCACGAAGAACGCACGAGTTGACTTTGAAAACAAACCCAACTCAAGTGTGATTCTTAACCCTCGTTGTTTTTCTTGTTGTCGTTCATGGGCAAAAGACAGTCTGTGATGCGAACGATAGCTTACCTATTAGCTAAGTACTTACCTGATGGTGATTATAAGAAAGAATATGAGTTTTTTATATACTAATGTCGAGCTTCGACTCCACATGAAGAGAGATTAGTAGTACAATCAAAACACCGAATTTTATAGTTCCTGACCTTTTCATGTGTCTGTTTGATCAAGACAGTCCAACAACGAGAAATTGACCTTGCTTCTGCAGTTGTTGATATTAACAAGATTAATTTTCATTCGGACTTAGTAAAAGCCTCATGGTCTGAGAATATATGTTATTTACGATTCGTAGAACTTCTGAAGTATCCATCAATGCTCTGATGATTAAAACGCTTGTTATCGAAAATTATGACAAAATCTCAGTAACGTTTCTCCCCCCTTGAGAGAGGATGTTTACAATAATATGGGAATCACATATTAGACTAGTAGGGCTGTAAAAACAAGGGTCAGTAGTAACCGGTGCAGTATTAGGGCGGAGGGAAACTCGTACTATACCGTATACTAAGAGTGAACAAAGGTAACGACCAATGATACACGGTGTATCTTACAAGGTGAGAGCGGTATTTTACATAGTTTCCTAGTTGAAGTTACCGTGAGTTATACTGCTTGTAGTATTCGAATTGGGCTTACCGTAAAAAGTACGTTGAGTACCACTCAAGTGTGGTTCTTTACCAATAACTCATTGTGTGCTATTTAGGTAGTGTCTATCACCGACAATACATTGAGTACTACTCAAACAAGATTTTTATGCCTTTAGTACCATATTTAAAGTATGTGTTCAAGTCGTTATTCATGTCAGGATAAGTTATAAACAAGTTCAATTTTTTTTACTCACTTGCAATAAGTTTTATTGACATAGTCAAGCCTCAGTCGACTCTCCTTATACTATATATCAATGAGGACAATAAACAATAATACCCCAGTGTACTATATGAATGAATTTTAAGCAACCTCGGTTTTCATTGAGTAGGGAGTTAGTAGCAAGCAGTTTGCAGAGAACCCTCACCAACCCTAGTCTTGGATTGTTGCTGGGTAGTAAACACTTGATCATTGCATGAGAGACTGGTTATC